TCTTGACCGCCATATCCGTATTCAGCGCCCAAAATTATTAGTATTAGTCTAATCATACTAGACGAAAGTACCTCTGGTTTGCGAAATAATTGTAAAGTCTGGTTGGGTACACCAATTTTTGTGGGAAAACTTTTTATTCGGTTTTAGGGTAAACAATTAGATATTCTCAAAAACTACTTAACTAATCTACTCCAATTTTGTTGTGGTTATTTAGAAGTACGAATCTTACGGATTTTAAGAATTTCAAATACCTGCGAGAAACCATCGTCGCATTACCAACAAGTGTCGAAACCTGCAGTTTGCGTCGGTTTTCGGCCATACCTTTTTTGCTGTTAGTCGGATCTTTTTACGTGTGGTCTCATTCTGTAGGTCTCATTAATACCTAAAGATCTTATTTGAAGAGTATTTCGTTCCTGTCAACACTTTCGATTGAATCCCAAAAAAACAGGTTTTCTCGTCCTTTGTTGTCAAATAAAAAGTTTTCCCACAAGAATTGGTGCACTTATTTTATGCGTCCATGTTTTAAATACCTCCTCGAACAACTTGCTCCAATAAAACCAGACTTTACAATTATTTCGGGGAAATTTGCTAATATGGTTAGACTATATATACAAAGAGGCAATCTCTTCTAACAACGGGAGCAGAAAATCGAAATTGTAGCCTACTAAGTCCTATAATATTCTGAAGCTTCATAAGGGAAATATTTAAAAACCCCTTCATGTGTGTCATCTGAAGGAGCATTGGTTTCCTGGGTGGATGCAGAATCCGTTGGCAATTTGATACCTACTACACATGATTCTTCAACAGTCACATTCTAATCAGTGACCCAAATTGTTTTCGCACAACAGAGCCTTTAATATTTCAGGGTTTTATATTAGAAGATTTTCAAATTTCGGACTAGCTTAATGGCAATGAGATAAGCAGCAGTACCATTGTTGCCGAACCGAAAAAGAGGAAATCGGTAATAGATAGTACCGTTGACAGTCACTAAATTCGGTAGCACAAAAAAATCAGGGCGCACACAGAATACAGGTTTTTTGAGACCATCTTTTCCTGAAAAAATATTGATTTCTTTATTACAACCGTTGGTTTAATTATTATTGCTTGTCCGGTGATACGGTGAGGCTCAGGATGATGGCGATCTACCAATCTGTACCTGTTGTACGTACAAAAACTAATGCAGGAAAAGCGTAGTAAGGAATGTGGGTACATAATTATGTACCTATAATTATAGGAAACCCATATCTATGTTCCTCGTACACACACGAAAATATCACTTTTTGTTTCAATAAATGTTCAAAATGTTGCCCGTTAGGGTTTGCCAAATCTACAATTCCTTTATAATTCGAAAGGAAAACTACCAACATAAACAGCAATTCGGAAGATTAGACGTGGCAACAACCAAATAACAACCCGAATTTGCCGCATTCTTTCCATCAACACAGATATCCTGGGCGAACTGTATTTAGAGTTATACCTGTTTAGTTATTTGTTGCTACTGGAAAGAAATAATTTAATTTACTGTCAGTTACCTTTGTGACAATCTTAGAACAGTGAAAATTGATTTATTAATTCATATTTTACTTCCAAAATGGTTTACACACTAGCCGAAAGAGTGGAAATGATTCTAATTTATGGTGCCCAAAATCAAATTGCACGGCAAACTGCCGTCAGGTTTTGGACCTTGTTACTAAATTTACTCAAACTAGATCTGTTGCAAATAAAAAACGTGATCATCGGAAAGTGTTGGATGAAGCCGTTCAAGTTGAAGTTTTGGGTCATTTTGGAATAAATCCTAATACTTCATTACGCAAAATTGTTGCTATGACTGGTATTTCATTAGGCTCTCTACACACTGTTACTAAACTCCATAAATTCCATCCATTCAAAATGAAAATATTGCAAGAGTTAACCGAAGATGATTTCGATAGGCGAGTTGAGTGAACAAATGGCTGCAGCGATTAATGATAATACCATTCATGTAAAGAATATCTGAATATGAATATTGATGAATGCACATTTTATCTAAATGGATTTGTAAATAAACATAACTGCAGGTATTGGAGCAATGAAAATCCTAATGCTTTTGTAGAAGGACATACTCAGAAAATTAATGTATGAGCAGGCATTTTAGGAAACAAAGAGATTGGGCAATTGCTTTTTAAAGGAAATTTGAATGGAGACATTTATTTGGATATGTGGGAAAATATCATCAATCCGCTTCCCAACTAGCAAGGTAGTGCTGTAAGCTTTTGGTAAAAGACCCGTTCAGCTATAAAAGCTCCTCTATTGTTGTTGCCTGAACACCAAAATACTGGCTTAATGTTGTGTGGAATGCAAATTTGCTTTCTGCAACATATTTGCTCTAAAATGAGATGTTTAAAATATTCTTATAGCATAGTTACACAACACCTTATAGGACAAATTTTTAACTGTTGCATAAACCTTTATACAACTATTTTGTACGGCATATTTGCAGGTTAGTCAAAATGGTTGTGTTGTGGCATCCATGGTAACGTTTGTAAAACAAACCCGAGCCTTGTTGTTTTGCTGTGCAAATTTACTACTTTAGGCAACAAATTGCTACCAACGGAAGCACTTATACAACTGTTAGTAACTGTTAAAGGCTGTACATATGCTAAATATGTTGGTATACATCTTCACCATAACCTAACTTTCTGCTGTCATATTTTTGTTAAAATGCCATAACCAATGTTTTAAGACAAACAACGCATGCATATTGGTTAAAAAGGTTTTATCAACTGTTCAAGCAGAAGATATAGATCTGGTACAAATTTTAGGTAAATCATTCGACTCTGTCGGTATTTCATTTCTGACATTTGTCAAATTGTTGTATAACACCTGCAGGCAACACCAAAGTATTCTAAATAAACTAAAGACAACATGGACGATGCCATGATTCAATCACCCTCCATATTGGGAAAACATTTATTCCCCTATTTGATATTAAATAATTATGTTTCAGTTCGAAATTACAGAAATAAAGTGATAAACATTAGTGTAATTGTGTCTAAATATAGGATTTGTGGAAGATTTAACGCAGATAAGTTCAGTTTTCCATCTTAAAAATCTAGACATACTTTTGATGATTATCAAAATATGAATCAAATACGAAAAATTTGCTGCGCAAGTAATTCAATAGCCCTATATCACAGTGTAGAAGTTTATCATATACCTGTGTATGAAATTCACAATGGCCGATATCTAAGTAAACAAGATGACTGTATTGTGTTAGTTATATATTCTTCACTTCGTCTATACAATACATAAGAAATAGTTTGGCTGCAATAAAGTAGAATCACGTAACAGAATAGTTGTATAGTTGACAAAAGCTGAATATTGCACTGACGCAAATGTCCTATAGCGGCTGCAAGAGGCTTGCACTTTTGTTGTATAACTGTTACCTGCAGCCCTTATACAACCTCTTAAATGACTGAAGTGTCCTATTAGGTGTGCCCATTCCGCTTGTATAGCTGTTCTAAGAGGGTTTTGCCAATGTTTTGCCTATACAATGCTGTGTAAGGAATACTGTATAATCATTCTTGCAACTCTAATAGGAGTGATAATTGTTAGTTGGGTTATGACCATTAAAAAACAAATCGAAGAGGATTGATGAGGCTGAAATATACTTCCATCCAGACGGTGCTCCACCTCACTATGTTCTTCCAGTTCGGCAATGGCTAAACGACGAGTTTCCAGATAAATGGACAGGACGAAGATGGCCTATCGAATGGCATGCAAGATCTCCCGATTTGAAGAAATTAGACTTTCTTCTACCTGTACGTTTACTCCTCAACATTCTGAACACTTACTGAAATAAAAAGTGATATTTCTTCGACAGACCTATCAAACAATCAGTGATGTGGCGGCAGAGGGTAAAAGGGGGTGAAGTAGTTTTTGACGTGTCTCGGTGTTTTCTCTTTTAATCAGTGGTTTTAGATAAATCCGTGGTGGGAGTTTTCAAATGTGCTTCGAGTATACTTCGAGCATTAAAAATCCGGTAACAAACGTCATTTGATATGACACAGCTCGCAATTATAGGAATCTGCAGGACCCTAGATTTTTTCACTAGGGTGACATCTATACGGTATATCAATAACCATTAATTGAATGACTTAAAATCAGAATTCTAGGGTAGAAGTAAGTGGTTCGTCGTACTTTCAGTAGATGTCACCTCACAGTTTTAGCGACATCTAGACGATCTTAATTTAATTTTTGAGAGCTCGCTACAGAAATCTGTATAGTTGAGTCTTCTAGCTCATTATTTTCCTCATAGGTGCCACCTCAATCGGAACACATCTTCAAAATATTGAATGGTATCAACTCTGATAAGCACCGCTCACAAGTCGCACCGCTTTAAAGGACTATAAAGCTGAATAGTCTTCACTTGACTTTTGTTTTATTAAGGTGAAATAGAGTTAGTGAAGGCCTGTTATGTGGTATTATTAGAAGGAATATATTGGACTTGAGTACATGGTCTATTTCGTTTCTATCCTATTGGATGACTACGGCCCCAGCTTGATAAGGGGTTTCCAAATACGCAAAAACCAGATAAAAAATTTCCAAAAATAGTAGATCCTCCTCCAATTTTCCCTAATGGGTACCAGATTTCGTTGTGGCCTGCAGGCCCTGTGTGCCCCTAAGTAACTTTAGACATACATCTACGTGATATAAGCATAGAATGCGCATCTACAATTAAGAAAGCCTTTTTAGGAGAACAGCATTTTGGTAAATATGACCAAATTTTGAATTGAAATTGCTATGCCTGACGGTATAGCTTTTGGACAAACATGCGTCATTTTAACTAGGACTGATAATTATTCAGTCCACCAAGAGGTGTTCGACAAACCAAAGTTGCTCAACTAAAATTACTTTTTTCTAAAAACAAGTAAAAATATACGAAAAATAATGCGTTCTTATAAAGTGCATAGTAATTATTATTACTAATATGCACTTCTCTAATTGAAACAAACCAGAAATACAAACTGATATGTTTTATTTCAAATACATTTAAATAACTGTACAAAAATTACAATGAAAATTGCTTTCAATGTTGTCAAATGATTTTTCCATAGTGCTGAAATCAGGATTCTGAGGATATGCAGGAACCAGTGATGATGCATGAACAAAATCAGCTTTCACAATGATCTCAGAATCAAAAATATCTGTCAAATCACTGTGAAAACCAGTTTCGTCTGAAAATCCAACAGCAGGAAGCAATCTTCTGACTTCAAACATCCTTATATTCCAATTTCTTCGTATGTTGTCAAACTGAAACAAAAGTATGCATGAGAAAAACATATATGAATAGATAAAAAAAAAACGAAGTCAGGGTTTTAAAAGTTACAACTTCGAAGCAAAAAAAAACTGTATTTGTATTTAATTTTTGAAAATGTGTTGCCAATAGGTGCAAACATTTTCGTGCCGGAGAACATGCCAATGGTGTAGAAATTGGGAAATTTTGACCCCTACATCTATTGCATTTTTGAATGATAAATTCTAATTTTGGTGAAACATTCAAACAGGGTGTCATTAATACAAGGGAACACTGTAGAATTTAATATTCATATTCATTATATTTCCTCATTAGAAGCCTTTCAAGATTTTGAAATAAAAAAAAGTGCTGTGGAGTTTATTGGTTGTTTCACAGTCGGCAGGCCCGAACATTTCTTTTGAGCATATTATGAATTTGGTGGTGGGATCCGGTCCTCGGGGGTTCGGCACATAAAGCTAAAGATAGCCTTGTTGCTTGGCTTCGCCTCCCCATTATTACTGCTTCTAAATCGGTCGTTGGCCGTTTCCACTGACTCACTCGTAATTGCAAGGGTAAACCATCAAATCATAAAGAAGCTTACTTGTACAGGGTATCCTTATCGCAAACAACTACTTCCGAAATAATAAAGCTAATTTGTGCTAAAACAGATGCGAAACCGTAAAAAAGAAATTGACAAAAAATATAAAGAAATTACAAGTACTGCCTCGTCAAATGTTTTACTGTTCGAAGTTGTAGCCGTTAGTTTCAGAAACAAGAGTTTGTTAACTTGTTCCTATCTTTGCAACATTGGAGGTCTTCTATTCTGTCCACCTCGACGGATTTTGCACGATATAAGCAAACCTACGCATTTTGTGAAGTATCAGAAGACTTGTAAACTAGCATCAAATTTCACTCCGCGCGGCACTTGCGTTTGCTACTGTCACAACTCGCATCTTTTCACGCTGAATGCTGGGCCGGGCTGGTCCGTTCAGATTTTTTTTAGATTTCAGCAGCTCGGTTTGCGTATTGTTACATGAACAGGTAAAGGAAAGTCACAACAAGGACATCCTGTATAGTATTTACGTTCGCTATGAAAAGTTTGCATGGTTAAGTTACGAGTCAGTCTACTTAACCTCTACATGTTGAATGAAGTGAAACGATACATTCTTTACCAATTGTAGATATATCTTGTAGAAGCGTTCTCACTAGATGCAGTACCAGAAATGGGTTGGTCGGACAGCGCACAAGTATCCCAATCCTCTTTCTTCTTGGAAAAAATCCTGGAATACGAGAAAATATATTTGTAGACTAAAAACCTTCATTCACCATGACACATCACCAAACACATTACAAAGTACACAGAAATGTGCAAGATAGTCCTTTTAAACTTGAAGCGCCTAAATTCTTATCAATGGAGAGATAAAGGCGTGAGGTATTTTATCAAAAACTGTCGTTGCTTGAAGGAATATTTGTACACAGATAAGAATGTGCACGGTTTGATGATTTTACGAAAAAGATGAACTACAGGGCTAGGAGGCCATTCAGGAACTAGAATTCCGAGTGCGTAATCCTACCTTAACTTCAAGCCGCGTTAATTCCTTTTTTTGTCATGTGTGCCCTAATGAGGCAACGGAGCAGGCAACACCACGGCGATGTTGCCTATTTTCGACGTTTAGACCTTTACCCTCATATGTTTATCGGAGGAAGCGGAAGGTGAACTGAAGATATGGCCCTTGACTCACTGGAAAATGCACATATCTCTACAATGCTCAAGGCCATGCTGGCTACTGGTGTGTCTTACGGAAGGAGATGGTCTTGTCAATCTCATTCATAGTCATTTAGGATTCCTTATTTCCACTATTTTTACTCAAGGAATGGATTAATTTACCAATTTCATACTTATATTTATGAAAATATTACCTCACAAACCGACATAAACGTATTTTAAAGGGATGTGATGAAAGTAAGATTAGATTAGACTTAATATATAAACCAATTTTTTTTTAATTACCGTTGATTACTTCTTTTCAGTGTTGAACCTTTTAGTAAGTTGTGAAAGGATAGTGTGGTTTTCCTGATCCCGGAACATCGGAATATTTCCGAAACTTTTACTTCTAACGCGTTTGTGCCACGCTACTTTTGCTGTGTTTCGTATCTGGTACTGCCGGTGTCATGCAAGTGTACGAACAGCTTTCAGCGCTAAGATCTAAGATTTAATTCTAATTGTGGCGCCTCAAAGTAACTATCTTGTAGAAGTGTAGATGCTTTTTTTGTGAACTATGAATTAAACTGTTTTCTGTAAAACATATTTTTATATTGTACCTAATGGGGTCATGTGTACAGATGTGTGTGTACATTTGTTACGTAAAACTGTCGAAATAACAGAGATAAGGCGCTTGGTAATAGTCTTCTATATTTATGAATGATCATCGTTTATGAATTACAGAAAGAATGTACGACGACGTCGACGGTGATATGCTTGTGCAAATGATGAGTCTTATCTGTTATCTGTCGCATAACAGGAAATCGAATGATATTTCGGAGTTGGAGGAAAATACCGAAAAGTGACCTTTAATCTCATTAGGGAGGTTTTAGTGTTCTTATTTTTCTGTTACGTTTTCGTTCATCTGAGTTCGCGCGGTAGCCAGACAGTAAATACTTCGTTCTCCGTTGTCGAACTTCGTGCAGCTGGAGAAGTTTTATTGAAATAATTTCAAGTTATAAGAATATATTGATTAAAATATAATGGCGCATCTAAATAGGCTATTCTTTTTCAGGCCGGCTACAATGCTACATAATTTGACGTTTAATTTCGAAATTCTGGCCTGAAATTCTGACAAGTGAATGTGGCTACACATTCCTGCCAATATTTCCAAGATATAGACGAGATAGATAGCCGAGCCGTAAGCATTGCTCGTCTAGATGGCCAATAACAGAAAGATCACAGATAAAGATAAATACAAGAAATTCGCAGTGTACTAAATTTATTAAATTATCCTCCTGCTGGCTTTATGGTCTTATATAGTTTTATGATACTAAATCTATTCTAGACCAATTTGGATTGATATAAACGCAAATATTACAGAAACTTTTCTATGAAAAATGTGAACAAGGTTTTGAAAAAAGTAGGTTGTCAACTCAAATGGGTATATTGTAGTTAAAATATGTTAGACGTACCCACATTACCATTTTTTAAGGATTTGAAACTGTTGCATGAAACCAGCGACAGGTGGCGATTGCAAATTGCGAACCATGTAGTCACAATCGAATGGTAGTAATGACTATTTGAAAGCTTACTTTGCGATGATACCATCCAGAATATATGAATCAAACAGCAGACTTTGCGTCAAAAAACTAACCAACGTAGGTACACAGTGTTCGAAAAAGTATGCGACATAGGAGGCAGGGCAATCAACTAAGATCACAGCACTTGTACGTCTTCTCCAGGAGTCCCCCCCCCCTCATTGAAAAAAGAGGTGATGCGACAAAGCGCAGTTTACTCTAGATAGAAGACCAACGTTCCCCCAGAATTAATTCTCGGATTGAAAGTACATCTGGGCAGTCGCAAGGACAATGCTTAACTGTCCTATCTTCCCTGTTCACATCCTGTACCTAAGGATGTGTCACACAGTCTCAAGTTATAGAGGTGTTTCCTTAGCTGACGGTGGTCCAGTTGCAAATTGAAGATGTTATCTGAACATAGTCACAAGGATATCCGAGAAATCCGTTAGCGAATGAGCAGAAAAAGGAGAAATTGGAAGAGTTGCGAAAACAAGTAAAAATCATACCTAGTAAATGTAATTTTCTCAATTTAAGTCGATTATATATAATATAACGTCTACTGCGTATAAAAAAGGCAGAAAAAGTAGATGTAGAAAGGTGGTATGAAAATCGAACATGGATTCTTATGACTGGTTATGTTGGTTAAAGTCTTGCTAGTAAGATTGCCACGATTGGTAGCAGCAAACCTACAGCTCATCTGGCATACTAAGTTTCACTAGCCAATTAGCAGAAGACTTCATTCGTATGACTCCTTATTAATCGCAAAGAGGACTCCTCATCTTCAGTTCTCAGAATTCAGAATGACTAAATATGCATCCTAGAGATAATTTCTATTACCTTGAGTATCATTCATTTATAACATTAAATATCTTTTTGTTTTTTACGTACTTATCTATGACGCTACGAATTCATAGAGTTCGTTTCTATTAGCATGTTAATTCATTTCTAAATATGCCTCAAAGGTATGACAATATTTTTTTATTGTTCAGTAAGTAGGTGATGGAAATAATTTCAGTATGTACCTGCACCATGTATAATTACGTTACCCTAAACACCATTTCCAAATCTCTTTATAATATAGATAGTTCATAATATGCATGCTCTTAAGATACAATTTATTTCTTATTTACTTTTAATCTATAAGGTAATTTTTGTGAATCCTCCATTATTCCTGAGAAAAACTGTTAATGGGAATTCTGGGGCATCCCCGAGATTTACAAAATCCCAACAACGTAAGAACGAGACATTTATGCATTCAAAATTTCAGTCACAGCATGAACATTAAGTAGTATAATAGTGACTCAAACATATAACTGGAACGACTATTGTCATCGAACAAAATATACCTGTACAATCACATTTTGACTCAAACTGCATTTCCTATTAAATGGATGTATGAATCATAATATCCAATTCTGTTATACACCGTGTTTTATCAACCACATCTATCAAATGCAAATTGCTCATAAACTTCTATTCGCCGTCATCACACTTGCAATTCTGGAAGACATTATATATATATGTATAAGATATTCTGCACAAAAATCCTTTCTGGCGACATACAAGTTACCAGAGACGAAATTACTAATTTAGGACATTTGTGTATGTTATAAACATATAAACGCTGTAACTTGCAAAACATATTTCTATGTTTTAGCACTTTCAACATACATAGCGGCGCGCACATTCACCATTCGCATGAAAAAAAAGATCAATCGGCGCATCCATCAAGAATTATACTACAGAAGTTTTGATTGCACATTCACCAAAATTAAACGTTTCGTCCCACGGCGTTAATGATAAATATTTGGAATACTTATTTATGTTCCTTTTTCCACGATTTGTTCAAGGTAGATAATTCATGTAATTGTTATCACAAAGAAACCACAGGAAAGCGAATTCATATTTAGCAAAACGCGACACCCATTGGTTAACTTGATGACTTTTCAAGAACATATTTTTTCATTACAAAAATAATTTATAGCAATTACAAGAGAAAAATCAAGGAACTCCGACAAAATATTCACCAATAATCTTTACAGAAATTGATGAGTTGACTGTGTTCTTAGCTTACTTTTAATAAATCTCTTTGACATTTCAAATTTGAAGCTAGAAGTAGATATTTTTCGCTAATTCGAAAATCTATAACGAGCTACAAGTATCACCTTGATTTTTGTTGGATTTTTTTGTCGATAACATTGAATTCTGTTTGTTTCCTGATTGTCGTCCCTAGATTTATATTCCGATTCGAAGTTAATTATTATCTCACGAGCATGATACAAAATATGATAAGTAGAAATATTGTAACACATGCTCCATTGTTTATGCAGGATACTTTATGGAAAAGCTGTAAAAAAAGGATTGACTCAACTCATACGAATTTTAGTTTTGAAGAGAAACCTAAAGTAAGTTTGTAGCTGAGACAGACAAGAACTTTCAAAGTCCCTAACAGGATATTGAGGCCAGAATTTGTCGTTGACGTGATGTCAAAAGAAAAACTAATCAGACAAACTCAATCGGGAAATGGATAAACATTATGAATTGCAGATATCTTCTTTGCTAAAGGAATCACAAATATAATAAATATCCTTCGATCTGTATTCCACATATTATGTGCTGTGTATTTTTCTAGCACTATATTTGATTTTTGTTTGATAATACATTTTTCCTGAGATCTACTATTATTACATACTAAGTGGTATGAGCATCTGGAATCCGTGACAAAGTACTTTCTTTCAAAATTTGAAAAGTACCTAAAGTGTTTTAAAGAATCCAAAACCAGCATTCCAACAAAAAAACAAAAAGGAATTTCTGTCTATTGCGAGTTACTATTGTTTCATCGTCAGGGCCATTCGGCCGTATCACTTCTAAAATTATTTTTTTTCAAATACTATTATCCTAGTTCAGTCTCCAAAGTAGAAAATCTTCCAGACGTGACTTTTTGAAACAGGACCGCGATAAGTAATTACTAATTTCTGAAAATACAAACTTGTGCCAACATGAGTTGTTAGCTTTTATAAAAATACATCGAAAGGGCATTGCAGTGAATACCCCGAAGAAATAAAGAAGCTTTTTCCACAAACGAGCATCGCGTGGTTTTTTATAGGTTAATTTTCTTTTCGTAGATTGGTGGATGGATACTTGTCACTATTTGGTACAAATGGACCGGGATACCTGCAACTTATCTACTACATACTACTTTAAAACAGTTCCACGTCTAGCGAAAAGTACAAAAATGAAAAAACCTCCGGGTACAATGTTTCTAATCAACTAACGGCTATTCACATTCTTGAAACAATTACCGATTACAATCGAACCCACTAGATCATCACTTACTGCACCAACCACTTACACTTTAATCCCATTAGAGAAACACCTCCAAACTCCAATCGAATATCGGAACGAATACCGCGATCGCGAATACCGCCTCTCTCCGGTAATCGCGACAATCGCTAACGACCAACACCGAGTGCAGTCGATGCGACACTGTGCGAGCGAGAGCGTGCGAGCCCAGAGGTCGCTTGCGCCGCTTTGGTGCGCCGCTCTCAGAGTGTTCATTCACTAGGATCCGACCACGACATGAATGGATGGGGAGCAACGTTGCCAGATCCTCGGACGGAGTCCGAGAATGTTACATAACATGAGGGAGGTAGGAGTAGTTGAGTAGGCAAGGCCGTATAAATGTGGGGAAGCGTAACTAGTGGAGTATGTCGGAAGTTGCGAGGACGTTTTTTGAGTTATTTTTGGCTTGTTTTGCAGATTATTGTACTTTTGTGACAAGCTGCTGGAGATGCTCGAGCTGCCCAAGTAGCATTTTTGTCAAAATGGGCTGCCACTCAAGAAAAAGTTACCTATATTTGTCAAATTTTAGTAATTATATTCTTGAATGATGTCCGCAAAAGATAAATTGTCCTGAGAGTTGAATCCATTGTCAAAAGTTGGTAACTGTGTACCAAATTACTGCTCTAACAGACCTGTTTTAACCAAGAGGTTACACTGGTTTGTTTAGAACTACACAGAACGCACCTCTAAGAAGTACTTAGAAGATCCTTGACATCGAAGAAAAATCCAGATGTTATGGCTTACTTAATATTAACCTAAAATATGAAACAATATTTAATGCCAAATTGTTTGCCCAAAAATAAAAACCAGGACCTAGTTTCACGTTGATTTGGAATTTAGCGTCTAAGTGATTATTAGGTCTATAGGTCGAAATTATCAAAAAGGCCATATTTGATATGTTCTGTTATTTTTCCAAAAATACCTAATTCCCTCAAAAACACATTCTGCATAAAATAACTTCGCATCTTAAAACAAAGCCTTCTCATCATTTGAGGATATGTTGTTATCAGAGGGTCTCCCTGAACTTGTCAACAACATTAATTTGTTAATTTAGCTTATTTCTAAGACCTCTGAATTTTGGGTAACTATTGTGGTCATATTTGAAAAAAAAATACCTCCGCATAGATTTTTCGTCCACTTGTGGCTGCAATCTAATTTCGAAATGATTCTGTTATGATTACTACCACAAATGGAAGACACATTTACATATTTAACACCCTCCTATAACCGTTTTTAAATCGATCATGCATCTTTTTAACCTACTTTGTGGTCGAATCAACGTGATTATAACTTAAAACTGTGTTGGGTTAGCGGTATAAGAGGACTCCATTAGATTGAATGTCGAGTTATCTAACTAACAGGAAATAGCGGGTAAATATAGACAATTTAGGGCCAATTTCACCAACAACAGTCCGTTATTCTCCACCTATAGGGTAACAGCCCGTCAAATATAGCGAATGAGTTCCAATCAACAAATTTTAGCAACCAATAGCTATGAAATGTTGAAAGCAAAATACTGTCAAAGTATGAGATGACATCTTGTCATTGAAACATCATCAGCTTATTGAATATCAAGAAATTACATATAATTCAATCAAAATTTAAACAAATGTTTGATTTTTGAATAAAATTCATGATTTAATTACTATTGTTGATATTTATTCATGTTTATATTATTTTCTTCAATTGATATTCGATTTTACTGATTCAAGATCATCTACTGGGTGTTTTTTCCTATAAACCTCTTGCAGATAGCCATTAAGCAACTAATTTATGACTGGCTCTACCAAAAAGTTCATAGACATTGCTCGTTTCCAAACATTCATTCATTTACTTGCCGTTCATCAGAACCATTATGGCACCTTAGATTGATATTCCCACAAAACCATTCTGGTTTTTTAATATCCATACATCCATAAAGTTGAATATTTTTGGTTGTTCAGGAACTTAACAAACATCCACACTATATTCACAGCGATTAAAAAATACCCAAATATATGTCGTAGAGCTACCAGCAAACCTAAAACCTGCAGAAAAACTAGAAATTTGCAATATTTTTTTCTATTTTCACTGAGTACATATTCTGGGTTTTATTTATATTAGCCGTTATTTGAATCACAAAATATATACACTGATTTGAATAACAGCTGATTACCTCCTGATATTTTAAAACTAACCATATCGACAAGTGACACATGATTCTGTGGGATCCGTCAACACTTCGTCCCAGTGGAGCAAACTCTACCAACTCTCGAAATAAACTTTATTAATTCCA